ATTTAGGAAGAGAAAACAATATTGAAGTTAGAAAAATATGATAGATTGATAAAAGCATTAGAAAATAAATGTGAATAGATAAATTTATCTGACAAATTTACCAAACTATACTGTTTTGGGGGTTATTCTTTATTTTATTTCTTAATCTATTGTACTTGGTCGGTTTTCTCATGAAGAAAATCAAGGTTATTGGGTAAAGTCAATAAAAATTAACCCATTTTTCCTCCAGTATGCTCTTCTAGTTATCTGATTCTGTGGAGTCTTCAGGCCTTTAACTGACTTGAGCTATTTTATGACTAGTTTCTAGAAATGTATAATGTAATGCAAATAGATCTTCACATAAAAATGCAAATTATAAGTCAAATTCAACTGATTATTATGCCATGCATTTTTAGTAGTTTGACCAGTTTTTCCTACTATTTATGATCGACATTTGAACATGACTTATTTGAGTTGTTACTGAACTGTGTAATTTCACTGGCTCCCTCCTTAATGTGTTAAGTCAATCTTTGGTATGTGTTCATTTTGTATTTGCAATAGAACCATTAGTTTGACTTTTAAAACATGCTATCCTTTAAAAATGCATCCATTCTTCATAAATATCAACGACAAAACAGGCTTTCCTGAAAAATTTCTATATTTCCACCTTTCTTAAGCAGATTAAAACTGTGATACTGAATTACAGTTATTTAAACCCTAAAAATATGATCAAAAGGTAAATATTCTCTTATAGCAGAATACTGCCATGCATGTTCCTTCAGACATAGAATTAGAACGTCATGATGCCAGCAGTCACAGAATACAACACAAGAGAAACAAGACACATCAAATTTGGCATGAGAAGAGATTTGAAGACATTTTCTTGCATTGGATTGATACCCCCTTTCCACTTCAGATGGTACAGCTGGCAAAACCAACCTCAACAGATTTGGAAAAGGCTCGCCTGCTTAACATGCTTCTTTTCCTGTCTGGCACCCAGAGGAGATTGTGAAGCTGCCACTGACACCTTGAGTTAGTTCACACTCCTACACAGCTGCCTCTGACCTTCAACAACCAATTTCCTCAAGTTATGTGGAGCTACTCTAAACTCTTCTGAAAGTGTTTCTTAAACTTCTGCTTTAGTTTCTAGACCTTCATAGCTTCTTCGTCATTCAAGTTGACAATACTTATCTGCTGAAAACATTTTAAAGTGAAACATATTTAAACTTTCAAAATAAGAATTTTTTTCACCAGTTTATTATGATATGACTAGAGAGAAAACTTCTCTCCACTGCTCTAATTTTTTCTCTTAGTCCAACAATCATATAAGTAACATGTTGATGTTTAGAGATGTGACTCAGGGATGCTTTGCATGCCCTAAATCTGATTTCAGACACCAAAAATATAATTTAAAAGACATAGGAATATTAATAGGCCAAAAAATTGAATTACCTATGTATGGAAGTAAATCCTAAAGTAAACAGGGTCAGAAAATTGAGGAGTTCACAAGTGGCATAGGGACCTAAGGCTTCAAGGAGAAAAAAAGACTCAGATCACCCTTGGCAGTGTCTGGGGGACCATATGTGGTAACAGGAATCTAACTGGTGTCTTCTACATGCAAGGCAAGGGCCTTAACTTCAGTGCTATCTCCCTGGCCCTATTTTTAAATGAATATTAACATTATGATTAGAGTGTTTCATTTAGGCAGCATAGAATTTTTATTCCCACTTTGTATTTCAGATAAAGAGCATGTTATTTTATAAATCACCATTTTAAAGAAATATATAATATAAAATATCTCATTTTTAATTGATACAACATATATATACATATTATTCTGGGGAAAATTCCACATTAAAAATCGAAAGTATAGGATATAATTGCATTTTAGTTTTACTGTTAAAATCTCCTGAGTTCTGATTTAGATCTAAACAGAATTGTCTAAAGTAATGTGGTTATAATTCTGTCTAAATAAAAGACTGAATAAAAAAATGACAGAAACTTTGATCAGCAAAGCGTTGTTCAAATGTTAGCAAGAGATGTTAAATATATTAAAAATATAAACACTATGGTTTATTTGAGTTTTAGTGTATGCTAAATAAAAGCAAATGTTTGCTAGCTCGGTTTTTAACTTCAATGGTTCTAACATTTATGAATACTGTTCTTTAATATTTGATGAGTATATTGACATGAAGAAAGAGGATTCAAGTAAAATATGAACACAAGTCAGAAAAACAAAACAAAAACTATCACTTTATGGATCACACAGTTTCAAAAATTTTCTTAATATTACATGAATATGACTTATCTGAACAATTGTTTGAAATACAGCAACATTGGGTCAAAACAATAATACAGTGAGGAAAGCACTTGCTCACCCAAATTTGATCCCCAGCACCCTATATTGTTCCCTGAACCCTGCCAGGAGTAGTCCCGGAGCACAGAGAGAGAGAGGTAAGCCCAGAGCACTGCCAGGTGTGATTCCAAATCAACGATTAAAAAAAAAAGAAACACAACACATTTATTGTGAAACATAAAGAAATAAAAACAATGTCCAGTGGAAATTAATCATGAAACAATAATGCTAGTACTATTGTAAACCATGATATTTAATTAAGCACGTAGTTTTAAAAATCATCCTACTATCATAGAAGAAAATTTGTTTTTTAAAAGAACTATAGACTAAATATCAGCCAACATAAGAATAAAAACTATGTTGACACTGATTCTTAATGAAAAGTAGGACTTGCATAGGTCAATCTGCACACACATTTAAATTCTAACTAAACTCAGGTGCAAATTGCACATGCTAGAGAGTATTTTAATATCCCTACTCAATCCAAATTATTATTATTGAGTGTATATAAATAAAGAAAAGTTGAAACAGATATAAGTCTGAGAATTTTCCAAAATAATGGGTTTTCTCTAAAATTAACATTGGAAAGGACACTTTAGGGTAGAGTTAACAAAAATTAGCATGTTAACTGATCACACTGGGATATTTTGAGAATGCAGATTTTGATTAATTGGATCTTCTGTGAATCCCTAGATTTTCCAAATGAAGTCTATATTTTTAGTCATATCCAGGAACTGCCAAAATCGATAAAAAGACATAAAATCACCAACTTTATGTCACAGTAAACATTCACAATTGGGCGGAGCATACACATTTGCATCACACATTCATAATGAAAGAAAATAAGTATATTTTTCTTGATTAAGAACTATAAAATTAGAATAAGACTATCAAAAAGTTCTATAATCTGAATTAAGTCTAATTCCTATACTAATATCCAAGTCTTCTGTTTTTACAGTTCCACAGATCCACAGCATATGTCAAGGGACAGCAGGCACCCTTCTTGTGGACGTGACACACCATTTCCCTTTCCACAGCTGACTGGGGAACACTGAGCAAAGAAATTGAGCAACCACAAACTCCTAAAAGATTTTATTGGTGCCAGTTTCTCTTGGGCAACATTATTTACTGTATTCTATTCAAGTTCTGTATCAAATTAATTACATTGAGATTTAAAGTTGATATAACAAACAAACCCCAATATTTTCCCCTTGTGTATTTTGATTTTTCTAACCCAAGCTCAGAAAATTTGCCTCCATGTTTCTATTCTTTTCTTCCTTTTAGTCCTTCCCTTCCTTTTGTTAGCCATTCTCTTTGTTGTTGGAAAAACTCTCCATCTCTAAACAGAAGTGCAAACCAGATATTAAAATAGTGCTACTTAAAATAGTGCTAAGCAGTCTGTTTTCCTCTTCAAGTGATATTTGAGATCAAAATTAAATGTGGACATATAATTTGGAAGCAAATTTAAGCATGGAATAGCACTGCACTGTACACTGTCCTCCCCTTGTTCATCGATTTGCTCGAGCGGGCCCAGTAATGTCTCCATCATAAGACTTGCTGTGATGGTCTTTGGCATATTGAATACGTCATGGGTAGCTTGCCAGGCTTTGCTGTGCTGGCAAGATACTCTCGGTAGCTTCCCGGGATCCGAGAAGGGTAGAGGAATTGAACCCGGCTCATCTGAACATATACTAAAATTGGAACAATACAGAGAACCATGGAATAATTCTAAACAAATGTATAAACTACACAGCACACTTAGCAAGATATTCAAAAAAACTTTTGACTGGATTAAAGATATAAGAATAAGATATTTAGAGTATAAAATTCTGTTTTACTGAGATGCAGTATTTTTTTGAAATAATTTGGTACTTCGATGTCATCACAAATCAAAAGATTTCTCAAGAACCTTTACCTATAGTAGATTCAGATGGTAGCTTGAGAAATCATTGTGTTTTGTCTTCAATCCAAACATGTTTTAAAAATTAAATTTAGGTACCATGATCTTGAAAGTTGTTTACAATAGGCTTTCAGGCATACAATGTTTCCACTTATCATCAGAGCCCTCCACCAACATCCTAGTTTCCCTCCTACCGCCTAATCTGATTCCTGGCCAAATACATTTTAAACTTTAATTTTGTATATTTCCAAAATAAACCTCAGAACCTTAATGTTTCTTTTTTTAAACAAAAATCTGTCATGTACTCTAATTATTCAAAATAGCACTTTGCTTAGCTTAATGACTTTCACAAATAACATTCCTGATGAGCATTTGTTGCATGAATGATAGGCAATTGTGTATAGATTTTTCTTTCCTTACCAACAGTGATCTTGTCTTATTTTGCTGTGCACAGTTAATATTAAAGATTCTTAGCACTTATTCAGGTATCAACAAATGTTTTCAGTGAAAATATACATTACCACTTGGTCTGTGCACTGTGATTTTCACTTTCAATATGATTAAATTAATATACTGTATCTTAATACAAATGAGTATTAAAAATGTTTTGGTGTTATTTATAGTCTTGTTTCTTTGAGCACAACCTGTAAATGAATATAGACTGGCGACCTGACAGGTGTGAGGAGAAAGGCCAAAGGAGTTTTTTTATCCAATATAATAAACTGATTTTAGACTATGTTATTAAAAGACATCTTCATAACTTACTTCTTCTGTGTAGTTTTTCAAGGGCTGTCGTCCACTGGAGGTTTCACCCTAAAAGCAAAGGTGAAGAAAGGCTTAGTCAGGAGAAGGAGAGAAAAAGAATGAAATCATGGAGAATAGAAAAGCCACTTGAAGAGATAGTACAGTGGGTAGGGAACTTGCCTTATATACAGTTGACACAGTTTCAATAACTGGCATCACATATGGTCCTCAGAGCAGAAATGATCCCTAAGTGCAGAATCAAGAATAATCCCTGGGCACATCCAGTGTGACCTAACCTCTCCTCACCACAAAAAAGAAAATTTGGGGAGCAACTTAATCATTTATTATGCCCCACCACCTCAGTTGATAGTCTGTGGGATTAATAATTTGGGAATTTTAAATCTAAAGGAGATAGCAATTTTTTAAGATCACAATTTTTTTTTTTTTGCTTTTTGGGTCATACCCGGCAAGGCACAGGGGTTATTCCTGGATATGCACTCAGGAATTACTCCTGACGGTGCTTTGGGGACCATATGGGATACTGGGAATTGAACCTGGGTCGGCCGCGTGCAAGGCAAACGCCCTACCTGCTGTTCTATCGCTACAGCCCAAGATCACAATTTTTAAGTGACCTATATATTAGGTGAACAACCACCAAGAACAACCACCTATTCTTAGGCTAGAATTTTAAAGAACCATATAAATTTCATTTCTATGCTTTTAAATGTAAGGAAGTTAAGTCCCAAATTCTGCATTCTTTAAATCTGTGTGAAGATCTAACACAGCAACTTAAAATATTTTATGACAAGAGTGCATTTATTAGGAGCCAGGGTGATCATACAATAATAAGGTATTTGCCTTCCATACATCTGACCCTCATCAATCTAACCCTCATCAATCATTGGATACCTGATTCCTGTTAGATGTCACCCCTGAGCACAGAGCCAGCAGTAATCCCTGAGCATCGCTGGTGAAACTCCAAAACAAATATAGAAACAAAGAGTATAAATCATAAACCTGTTTATTTCCAAATGCTTTCATTCAGTTGTCCTTGTTTGCTATCAATAAATTTTGTTTTAATTGAGATTTTTCTAGCACTACACTTTTCAAACACTATAAGTAATGAAGACTTAGACAAATATAAATGAAAACATTACATTAAACATATATACCAATACCATCAAAATTGTCAAACTCTCATGCAACCTAATCAGAGATACATGGAAATAAATTCTGAGATGTATTCAAAATGATGTATTCAAAATAGAAAACTATGCGTATTAAAAGAGCATTACATAAGTATAGTATTTGTTTCTAACTTCTCAAGGATTTTCTTTTTGAACTTTTCAAGGACCTTCCTGTATATTTTATTTTCCTGGTTTTTCACTATAGCTGGAAAGTAAGACATTCCCCAGTTCAATAGGATACAAAAGGGACTTATAGCCAGGAAGGGCTGAATGAAGCACTTAAAGTCATGTAATTAGAAAAGCATTTCTGGGGCTGGATTTAATTTTGACACTTTTCTACCTTGTTGAAACAAAAATTTAAAAACTAGAAATATGAAATATTTAATTTAGCTTTAACAGAATTGTGATGTATACTCCAAAGCATTCAGAATGGTATTTTAAAACGTGTTCATGTAGAGACAAAAATTAAGATGCAAATAAGTTCTAGTATAGCTGAAAATTTATAAATCACATTATGATCTTATTTTTCTGAAATCAATACTTCCACTAGCAAAAAATTAATATGATATTATTTAAGAGTTTCCAAATGATTCAAGATTGTGGTATTGTTCATGGAAGAGAAAGTGAATGAGGTGGAATAGTTATATTTACTTAAGCAAAATTATTAGAATATATCAAATTCATATAAATCACCCAGCATGTGAGAAATTTAACTCAAAACAAATGACAAGGATTAGAAATATACTTCAGATAAACAACTTTTTAAAGCTAAATTTGCTATATTATTGTGCTTCATTTTTAGAACTAGCTTAGAAGAAATACTTTGGGCTTTTCCAATCTCATTCATCCATGTTCTCATCCCAAAGAACTTTCATTGCTAATCATGCTTTCTTTTTTTGTGTTGGTTGCTATGGTTAAAAGCATGAGGCAGCAAGCTACAGATTTCTTTTCTAGAGGAGCAAGCAACCGAGCCTTGCCTGCATAACCTCTGAACATACATGGGCTAGCTGACTTAGTAACATTCATGAGGAACTCAACAGAAAAGGCAATTTGTTTGCTTGAAGCATGAATATAAGTGTTCCAAATTTGTCCAGATACAGTCATTCGAAGACATAATGATAACTGGATTTTCTTAATGATCAAATAAAATTAACCACTCTCTGCATTGTAGGATATATTGACATATATTTGCTTCTTCTCATAGTGCACAGGGTTCTTTATGTACATATATAAATATACACTTATATACATGTACGTGTGTATATATACACACACACTGTAGATATGTAGAAAACCATAAAGCACAATTTGTTTCAAAGGCTAAACAAATTGGAGTTTGACTGCCCTTAATAAATCTGCCCTTAATAAATCACTGACATTGTTGGCACTGATGAATGGAGAACAGGAAGTAAAGGGCTAGGAAAAACGACAGAGGAAACAAATGCTGCAGAGGCAGTTACAAGTATAGCACAGGGCCCAGTAGGCAGAACAAGCAACCAAATGTCAGGATCTCTGTTTCTTAAGGTCAGAAGATAATGGCCCCAGTCAAGAGACATGTCTATTGAAGGATCTTAATTTTTTTAATATAGGACTATTGAAATGCTGATCTTCCTTCCCCCTTTGGTCGTGCTAATGAGATGAAATTCCTTCCAAAGCACAAAGCTACCAAATGAAATGAAATTCCTTAAAAGCACAAAGCTACCAACTTCAGTCATCCTTTACATAAATTTTTGTTCAAATTGAAATTACATATATCACTCTAACAACAGAATAATATTTTGGTAATCACCCCAAAATGAATCAATAATTCCCCAATGCGATTTCCGTGGAAAAGCAAAGCAAAGAAAGGAACTACAAGACAAGGAAACCAGGGTGTGAGAATGAAGGAAAGCGCAGAGTACACGGAAACTATGCCTTAAAGAAAGAAAAGCAAGAAAAGGTATTTCCTGAAATGTGGTTTCACTTACCATGACCATAGTTGAGATAGAATGTTTTTAATGTGAATTATAAAATATATTATGAACTCAGAGAAAGGGGAAAATGGTTGAAATGATTACGGCTTAACATATGATAGATATAAGATCATGGCTGTTAGGGATGAAATTTCTTTCCTCATTACTTTTCAGTGAAGGAAGCATTCTGAATGAGATGAAACAGCCTTGAGCCAGACATAACTAGACCACACTTTCCAGCATCCACAGCTATTTTTAATTACACCATTACGTTTTAAAAGTGATAGTCTATTAATCCTTAGGGAAAAATGCATACAACCTTACATTTTCATGAAGGCACATTTTTCATAAAAGTCTATCTCTATGTTGTTTTGTATTGACATCCTTTCAAGAAAGTTTCAAGAGAACTCTTCTTTCATCATAACAATCTTTCTTCACATCTTTTCCCAAACAAAACTGTTATAATCTGACATTGAGCATTTGATCCTCTTAAGCACCAGAGGTGTTTAGACCCTGAGAAGAATGGGAGTTTGAGATGAATGGCCAGACACTTTATGAATCCACAAAACCCATACTCATGATTAATGCCACAGTATTTATGAAGTATATATTGCATTCCATGAACAATTCTGAGTATAAGGACAAAGAGATGAACAAGAATTAATTCTATCTACAAAATGATTACCTAGAGGAAACAGGAACACTACAGGCCATCATAATATAGCATTGTAGCACTGTCCTCCTGTTGTTCAGCAATTTGATTTGAGTGGGCACCAGTAACGTCTCCATTATGAGACTTGTTGTTACTGTTTTTGGCATGTTGAATACACCACAGGAAGCTTGCCCGGTTCTGCTGTGTGAGACAAATACTCTCAGTAGCATGCCGGGCTCTCTGAGAGGGCCAGAGGAATCGAACCAGGGCTGGCCACATGCAAGGCAAACACCCTACCTATTGTGCTATTGCTCTTAATATATAACACAAAATGTTTGACACAGTTAGACCAAAATAATATGGGACAAAATAGAAGGAAAAACTGTAGCACTGTCTGTAGCACTGTCCTCCTGTTGTTCATCGATTTTATCAAGCTGGCTCAGTAACGTCTCTATCGTGAGACTTGTTACTGTGTTTGGCATATCAAATACACCACAGGGAGCTTGCCAGGATTTGCCATGCCAGAGAGATCCTCTCAGTAGATTGCCGGGCTCTATGAGAGGGGCGGAGGAATCAAATTTTGGCCACATGCAAGACAAACGCTCTACCCACTGTGCTATCACTCCAGCCCAGAAAGAAAAACAATTTTATGAAATAAATACTGTCACTGTCACTGTCCTCCCCTTGTTCATTGATTTGCTCAAGCGGGCCCAGTAACGTCACCATCGTGAGACTTGTTACTGTGTTTGGCATATCAAATATGCCACAGGTAGCTTGCCAGGCTTTGCTGTGTGGGGGAGATACTCTCAGTAGCTTGCTGGGCTCTCCGAGAGGGGCAGAGAAATAGAACTTGGGTCGGCCATGTTGGCCGCTTGCAAGGCAAATGCCCTGCCCGCTGTGCTTGCAAGGCAAATGCCCTACTCGCTCCAGCCCATAAAATAAATATCTAACAAATATGTAACAATAGTTATCATGAGCTGGGAATGATGTAGTAAATGGATACAAGTAATGAATGATGCAAAGTGGATAGAATAAAGCATCAGCAACTTATTTTTAAGCTTCACTTTAAAAATGTCGGCCAGCATTTGTGCCGCTTGGCTGATGTTTGGTGTTATTAAAACAATGTCATCAGCAAAGCGGAGGTGGTGTAATTGCCGACCATCTATCTTCACTCCCATTCCTTCCCATTCCAGTCATCACATGCTGTTCTCGAGGGTGGCACTGAAGAGTTTCGGTGAAATGGTATCACCCTACCAAACCCCTCTCTTGACATCAACG